CGAACTTGTGCAAGAGTAAAGATTAGCTTTAAAACATTGATGTTTGATTCTGTTGTCTATTTTCTCCGAAGCTACGTCAGCGTTTTCCTATTATACAACAAGTCCCATGTGGACAAAAGTGCGAAGACAAGAGCCACAATGCTTAAAAAGCACAAAGACACTCGAACCTCTTTATGCAAATACACTGTATGGTAAAAGTGTAACAGAGATACAGAGAGTCGGAAAAAACACCGGCATTAGGGGCCACAACAATCAAAAGAAATTGTCACCTTGAGTCCTTGCCGGGTAATAAATAGATGGACCACTCCCGTCTCTCAGGCACGTTCATCATTCACGTGGTTTGGAACCTCGGGTTGGCTGTCCAGTGGCATGTACTGTGCCATTATAGCTCTGATCTCTGAGTCCATGTATTGCTGTAAAACCAGGGAAATAGGTAGTTCAAAACAATTTTCTCAAGCAATGGATATGGAACCATGTTTAGGTCCAAACGCGTGATATGAAGTTACAGAAGAACTATAATTTAATATACATCAAATCCACACAAAAAAAGAAAATCTTTTTCTTTTACCACAAAAGGCAGATATAAGAAGATAAAAACTTACCCTTAACCTATATTTGTAAAGGAGGTACGCCCCAGCAGCTGCAAGTCCCAATGATAACATTATAAGCCATACGGCTGCCCACGCTGATTTCACTTGTGAACCTGTCTTGCCTAAATTTCAAACAAAAGAACCACTCCAGTTAAAATACATATTTGTATGCACGATTATACGTTTTAGATCATATTTATAGAACTGTATAAATCTAAGTTCATGAAAACTCACTGATGCAAGTGTCATGGTCTCTCATGTAGAGAAGGTCCCCACTACAAGAGCACTCGTAGCTTCCCCAAGTGTTCTTGCAGTTACATTCCGGGCACTGACAGGCTTTCTTCTCTTTGCACTCATCAATGTCTGGTGAATGAAGCACAGAAATCATTAAAAAGAGAATTATGAAGTAAAAGAAGTACCATAACCCAAGTTTGACAGAGAGTCTAACCGTCACACTTCTTAAGACCGTCTCCTTTGAATCCTGTAGGACACTGGCACTTAACATTGTCCTTGTCCTGAACGCATTACAAGTTGAGAAAAAGCCTCGTATTGTATGGTGAAATTATTGTCCAAAGCGAGGCAAAGTGCAGAAGAAACACTAACCACACAGGCAGAGAACGCATGTCCATCTCTCTCTTCATGCCAACAGCCTCCGTTGTTGATCGTACATTTCCCCGGCCCGCTCGCTGCAATGCAAACACCAAATAAGTATGAAATGTCGTATCTAACAGAAGCACAACAACAACAAAGGTAAAGGACAAAATCCTCCGTCTCTGATAGGAAAGAGGGGATATAAAAGTCAGCTTAGTAGATCCTATTCGCAATTTTGCTATCAAAGTTCTTGTGATCATGCAACCAACATTATATTTTGAATTTCACCAGAGCAATGTGAATGACTAAAATAACTGAGAGGGTAAACCCAACATTGTGTTTACGATTCACTGACTAGGAATTATATGATATATTGCCATACTGTAAGACCACAAAATGAAACTCGACTAATATCTTGCCATACTCAGATTGCTACTGAAGAAGACAAGTCCATTAAAAGTATAAAAACTATTCAAAAGATGACAAAACACTCACGTTCACAATGGTTGTAACCATCCCCTTTGAATTGTACACCATCAACTCTAGGACACACACAAACTTTTCCTCGAAAAGTATCCTGCAAATTAAGCACATTAATAGATATAACAGAAATTATTCCCAGGAATATCACAATATACCTTGCAAGCAGTTATGTTGGCAGACTTATCTTGCCAACAACCGCCATTGTTATCTAAGCACTCGTTTGTCTCCATATCTGTCAATTACGATAGAAAATGCAGTTTTCAGATTGTGATCACTGTTATAGTTTACATTCCAAGCATTTATGTGAATCAAAAATCAACTTTTAATTATAAACATGCATATCCTAGTCAAAAGTAGGGGTGGGCATTTCGGCATCGGGTTGGATAAAACCGGGGTATGTAAAAATGATAACCAAACTACTCCCAAGAATAGATAGGTCAGGTAGTTTGGGTACAAGTACAGGCAGGTTTTGGCATCTGACTAGAACCAAAAACATATCCAAATTTAGATTAGGTTGGCTACTGCCTATTGCCAGGTATGGGCAGGTATCTTGGGATTTTATCATTTTTGGCCCAAAGTCCGACCCGATGGAACACGAAAATGTACCATAATGGGCATACATGTAAAGGTAGGATTCAGGGGGGGTATGGGTATGACCCGAAACGCCCACATATAGTTAAACTAAGTAAGCAACAATATATACAGGTAAATCCTAACATTTATATTACTTTCCAAACATTTATTTGATGATCAAGCATGGGGCATCTAATATTAACTTTAAAAAGGCAAATCCTAGTCAAAAGTAGGGGTCCATATTTCAGCATTGGGTAAGATAATTGCCCAGGTATGTAAAAATGATAAACAAACTACTCCCAAGGATGGCTACGATCAGGTAATTCGAGTACAAGTACAGCCAGCTTTGGGCATCTATAATTATACCAAAAATAGATCTACACCGAGATTGGGTAGGCTATTGCTCTTTTATGGGCCAGGTATTTCAGGTTTTTCACATATCTGGGGAACCCAAACTTCAGACTTCAACCCACAAAAGTACGCCCGGTCGGATACACAAAAACTTACCCTAGTGAGTAGACAAGTAAAAGTTATCCTGGAGGGTATGGGTTAGACCCGAAACACCCACTCTTAGTCAAAACCAACACATCACAATAAACGAACCAACAATATATACCTGTGCTCAGGCATATAGCTGGTTCAGTTGTCTCCTCAAAACCAGAACATAGAGCCTTGAGTACAGCACTCTTCTCCAACTTGCCTGCAAGAAACCATATATTTAACAAGGTAAACCAGAACATAGAGTATTGACGTCTTAAGTTAACACTGCAAGACAAACCTCGGTACTGTCTGTTGTTGACAACCAAGGTAGGCAATATGGTCACATCACCCCTTGTACCCTTGCCAACCTACATAATATCCGAAATCTCAAACGGATTACTCAAAGAACATAACCGTGAGATACCCACGGGATAATGCAGACGGAAGATAAATATAAGAAATTTCTTACTTGTGCATCTTGTTCTTCCTTTAGAACTGGATTGTCCATGTCAGCATCAGGGTCTCCCATGCACTTGTCAAGTTTTCTGCTATCAATTCCTGTACAGACGGAGAAAATAAGCCTTGTTCTCCCAAAAAAAGAAAAAAGTATTATGCATTTCTTGAATTTTGAACCTATAGAAGAAGCACTCACCAAGAGATTTGATAACGGAATCAGCACATTCTTTGTTGTATTTCTTCTCCTTCATGGGACATCTGATCTGGAAATCAGTGACATAATCCCACCAGACCCAGGGGTTTCCGGTTTCGTTTGCCACCTTGTAAACGCAAAGCTGTCTCAAGTTTTCCACAACGACGTCTTTTCCATCGTATCCTGAGCTAAAGTCCTGTTCTGGATCAGGAGCACAGTATCTTCCCTTGTTGATACACTGAGACTTGCACTGTCTGCTCAGTGTGAAAGCATGAGGACAATACCAGGTAATGTAATGAGGTCTAAACTGCGTGAAACCGCCTTTCTCAAGAATCTGAGCGGCGCCCTTAAAATCCTTGACAAACTCCATCAACATGTCACACTTAACCCCGCATTCATCGTTGCTATTGGTCCACAATTCATACTCGACACGGTCATCAGGGTGTGGAACAGCTTCTCTCCAGTCAAGGTTCAAGTTGACCATATCCCCTCCACTAATTGCTTTCTTCAACTTTTCACCGAAACCTTTTGTGACGAGAGCAGAAGGAATGGTAATATTCTCAATGTATTTTGCGGACGAAACATCCTCTTCGGGTGTGTCCATGGTAATCAAAGGCTCATCAACATTGTCAGCCACAAGAACAGCAGAGGCACCCGCTTTCTGTGCATTCCAGACCTTCAAAGCGAAAAAACAATCTACAAAACCATCCATTAGGCCAAGTGGGTACATGTTAATGCAGAACAGTAAAGACTAAGGCAAGTTTTACACACAACTGAACCAATTAGGAAGAAAAGCAATACTTTCTCAACGAACTAAATTGCTAATAGAGATTAGTAGGGAATCAAATTCTGAGAAGTGAGATTAGGTACCTCCGCGATCAACCAAGAGGAAGGTAGGCAAAGCACCAGGCTGAGACTTGAAAGAAATTGAGAAATCGCTGAATTCTTTACACGATTTCTGATTCTCCTTTGGGTAAACCACCGTTCCCGCCATGCTTCCGCCGTACTGAGGGATCCCAAAGTTGCCGATTGCACTGTCATGAGTCCCCTTTATGCTCTCCGGCGACGTCACCGACAAGCTGTTCTTCTCCACAACGAATCGAGCCTCGCAAAAGGGGAGAGAGAGAAGCAGCCATGGAAGAAAACAAAGGAGAAGCTGCTTCTGCTTGGCTTGCTTCATCTTCGAGATCTCCGCCTGATCACCAGCCAATTCAATGGATCAATGCTTAAGGAGCGAGCAGATTGAATCGGAGTATGCAAAAGAGATGAAGATTGAAATCGTCCGGAGCAGTCTGAGCTCGAGATTGCGAGTGTGTCCCGATATACAATAAAAGTCGCGTCTTTTTCAACGTTTCCGGTGCGACTGGAAGACTCTATACAAAACGCAGAAGTCAACACAGACATATCGACGACGAAACTATCGTGGATATGAATAAATAAAAGAAAATTAACGAAAAGTG